AATGCCAGTGGGTGTGGACTAGTTACTCCCTCCAGTCATCAGAGGCATCAAACTGGGGTGTTTGAAGATCCTGATATCATGGACCTTGCCTGACCACCTGGTGGCTACATGAGTGACCCACCCCTGGTAGTCTATGATGGGCTGCAGCACAATGGAGGAAGAGTCTCTTGGGTGATATATGCTGAGGGTGCATACAGATGAAACTGAAATGTTTCAAATGCTTCTAGGGTTTTTGGTTGTAGCCTTGTTGGTCTAAGGAGATAGGCAGGCAAGTTTATTTCACATCTACCCAAAACCTTGGGTAGCAAAATTGTGTTGCAAAATCATGCCTGTTTGTATTGGCTACTATTTTGAAGTGCTTTGCTGCTCTATATGTGCGTATACTGCAGAGAGTGCTACAGACCTCTTGGATCCCTCAGCAACCCATAGCATTCTGCTTTCTCCTCCATCCCCTCCATGGGGTGTGGGGGGAGGGGGGAGGAGAGTAGGATGGACAGTTTGGTAGGCTGAGTGACAGACAAACAGCTGTCCAGACACTGATCCTACTCCCTACTGGGACTTCTTGGGCCAGGAATCATCTGAACACTGGGAGCAATCCAGTCACTGAAAATTCCCAGTGCTGGAAGTGCACACCAAGTGCTGGGAGAGAGCAGTGTGGCTGGAGCACTCTGAATCTAGATGGACTTGCTGTGGGCACTCCCAGCTGGGGCATGCTGGGTGCTGGGAGGATTGTCAGCACCGGGAGAGATCCAGGTGCTGGGAGTTGGACCATCAGCTTTGGATTCATTTCAGCCAAGTTCTTCATGTGTGATCTCGGGGAAGAAAACCAACTTCAAGTTCTGAGAGTTGTTTAAAGCTCTGAGAGTTGTTTAAAAAAAATGAACTCTGGTGTTTGGGCCATTTAGGGTGAAATTCTATTTCTTTTTGCATCTCAGTCTTGTTTTTCTAGCTGGGTCAGTGACAGCTTTGGCTGAAGTCCTTCCTAGATTTGTATGCAGCTAGGAATTCTATGCCCCCTGGGTGTGGATGTGTAAGTGTGTATATGAAGACTGGACAATGCTCAGTAGGTGCCACAGTGGCCAGGCAGGTACACAGCTTTGCCTTCATGCCCATTCTGGACTCATACCTGTCCCAAGCATGACAGTGAAGCTGAGCAGAGCCTATGATTAAGGGTTATTAGACAGATGAGGAAGACATGCCTGTGTGTTGGCCGCAGTAGCTGAGTGGTTTTGGCACATCGACTGCAAACAGGACACCTGGTTTCTAGATGCCCTCCCTTACTCAGAGCAGGTCTGAGTCTGCATCTTGTTGACTTTGCAGCACAATCTTGTGATCACCACATCATAGGTTAGTTGTTCTCCAGGCCTTTTGAAACCAGTCCGATGGGCAGCCAGGAGGAAAAGGGCAAGCCAGAGGATGGTTGGCTTTATAGGATGGGTGCTGCTTTCCAGTAATACTTGATGTGTGGTTACTGCACTATCCTGAGAAGTTAGAGATGTACTTTCAAACTTTGTGGATGTGGGGGCCTGAGAACCCAGGTCTCCAGCTTCCTGGGTAAAGGCCTTAGACATTGGTGACTAGGACTGAAACAGTACCCACCCTCACTTTTCTGGGACTTACAGTATACATTGCTGCATATATGCCTAGCCAGTGCATAGCTCTGTGCGTGCTAAGTTTACATGCAGACATTTGTGTGTCCACAGTGCAGAGGCAATACCAAAACACATCATGGTTTGCAGCTGGAAAACTGCCATTAGGTGTACAATGAAAGAAAAATTCCATCCTAGGCATCTCAATACCATTTACCACTGACTTCCAAAATATGTCTTTGACTGTGGGCCACATTTAGAATGGCCTTTCTGGTGCCTCTATTTAGCCTTTGCCAAAGCCAAACAATATATTATGTGCTCCAGGAGGGTCATCCAAATAGGGCTCAGCACTAAGACTCTGTTTGCATGATTGTGGGGAATTTTAAGACTCTTCAATGGGAAATACAGCTAGCCTCCATCCTAAGTAGGCAGCTGCTAGAGTTGGTCAGTAGGACACACAAAGTACAAAGGTGAGTCTGAAGTCCTGCTTCTCCTCAGAGCTTATACATCTTCATCTACCCTGCATCCAGAACTCCAAGAGGGTAGCCACCTGGCTGCAGGTGGACCTCATGCCCAACTTTTTGCAGAAATCAAGCAATTGACAGGAAATGGCAGATCTGGGGTCTAGGCCCTCATCAGCTTGAGGAGGGGCATACCTCCATCTTGCCTCCCTCGGAAGAAGGATATAACCATGGACGCAGAGCCACTGGGAAGCCAGGGAGGCAAAGTTCATTGGGACAGAAGGAAGGCAGGCAGGAGAGAACCTGGCAACATAGTCCAATGAATGGGATCCTCTCCTGGCAGTCATGCGGCCAGCATTCTGGTCCATGCTCACTGCATTTCACTCCAGGCAGTCATTGGACAAAGGATCGTAATTAAACCTGTCATCCAGGTCTCCCACTCCAAGATGAGTACTTTAACCACTAGAGAATCATGGTCTCAGATCCCATCCATCCCAACACTGAAAAAAAGAAAATCATGAATATAATTGTTAAGTAGGGAAATGTGGTAGTGTTGGCTTACTGAACTCACTTCTGGCTGATGTGATAGGAGGTCTTCTGAAGCTAAAGGACTTGTCTTTTCATTCCTACTTCCCATAATACCTCTGCTTGGTTTATGTAGTTAGTGGGTCTTTTCTCCAGCTCCTCAAGTCCATACAGAGTGAATAGGATGGTCAATATTGATTTAAATTTATATACTGAACCTAGAGGACTATTGACGCACAAAATTCCTTTGCAAAAGACGAAGATGTATTTTATAATGTATTTAAAGGATTTCCTTGAGCTACTTGAGAATTATTTCCTTCTGACTATTGCCTTTATCCCAAAATTAACTTACCTATTAACTCTGCGGTATGATAGTACCTGTATCTTGAATGTTTTTGCTTCAAAACTGACCGTTGAGGTGTTTCTATTTAAATTTAGGCAATGGGAAACTGAGGTGAGTAGAGGAATGTAACTATCTATACCCCATTGTGATTCTTTTATGCAAGGCGCACAATCCAGTGAAATGTTAATCGCAACCGAGAGGGAAGGGTTTTCACTTTTTTTTAGCCTACTACTCTAGTGGCTATGGCATTTGTCTAGTGAGTGATAAGCTTACGTCCTAGGCTACTTCTCAATATGAGCTCCTTGAAGTCATAGTCCCATTTCCCAGCCAAATGTCTTCATTGCGTGGCTATGGGATGCACAGGGCCAAGATCACCCTCCACTTCTGTTGAATATGGCCCAGTGGGAGTCAAGAGGTGGCGATCCTTGGGGATAGAAGGAACAGAAGTCAGAGGGAGCTGGTATCTATGCCTCCAAGTTGGTTGTGGCCTTGGAGTTTGCCTTGTGTTCTGGTCCATCTTCCTCTCCCAATATTCTTTGTGTTTTATTCACTATTGCAGACCACAGGTAACTTACATTAAAAAAAATAAAAATAAAATAATGACAGTGATGCTACCTGACCCTTCCTCAGGTGATGCCTTGTTGTTAGAGTGCTAAATCAGAGTCTGTGTGCAAAGCCCTTCAGCCTCTGAGGTAGCTGATGTAATGTCATCTGCTTTTTAGGGAAGTGCCCTAGTAAGCATGTGATATGATAAGTGAAGGCACTCTCCTCCCCTCCAGCTGAAGCTAAAGCACTAGGTAGCCAAGAGTGCAGTAGAAGCTCTGTCTTGTGGGGGTTTTTCACTCCAGTAGAAGTGGAGTTTCTAGGTCATGGGTCCTGTTACCAGGGTTTTCTTTTCTTTTCTTTTCTTTTCTTTTTTCTTTTCTTTTTTTAATTAACAAATGGATGTCTAATGAAAAATGTGTGAAGAGTCCCAGAACATACCTCATTGCTGGTTACCTTTCAGTGTCTTTCAGCTTTCTGAGCAACATACCTCTCTTCACTCTCTGTACAGAGTACCTAGGTGCCTAAACTGAAATCACATTTTGGAGCTTATATAAGGAATCCTAGACATAGGATTAGGCACCCCTGCTAGACATGCCTAAAGGTAGGACTTGACAAAACATTTGAATGTTGACCTAGAATCTCAATTCCTTTGTTTCCTTCAACAGCCCAGATTTAATATCTGGAATATTAAGATGATGGGAGGATGGAGGGGAAGTGAAAATATCCCATGAAAAAATGATATCTTTATTGCCTTAACTTTTTCCAAGGCAGGATTAAATCTGCCTAAATTATTCCTTATTAGTTTGTTTGACCAACTTGTTTCTCTAGTTAACAAGAAAAATTGAAAATTGTTTTAAAGTTTTTAATTATGCATAAATCACTTCACCTGCAACATCAAAAATATTTTTTACTTTAAAAAAGATAATACATTATTTAATGAGGGAGGTAGTTTTCACTATCCTTAATTTAAAGCTGTAGAAAAGGGAGGCAATGAGCATTCATAGGATCAAATAGTCGGTGTGTGGAAGTGTGCTCTAACTGGGACGGGTCCTTTACTGTGGAGTAAAGTTCCCTCTGAGTAAAGTCTTTCTCATAGCCTCTTTCACTTCCTTGTTTCTCAGGCAGTAGATAACAGGGTTGAGTAGTGGAACCAGGATTGTGTACAGCACTGACACATGCTTATTAGAGTTGAAAGATGAGATTGCCTTGGGCTGGGCATAGATGAAGATGGTAGCAGCATAGAAAATGACAACGACGGTGAGATGTGAGGTACATGTGGAGAAGGCTTTGATGCGCCCTTGTCCTGAGGGGATGTGCAGGATGGTGGAAATGATGAGAATGTAGGAGAGGATAGTGGTAGACAGTGGGACTACCAAAATAAGCAATGCTAAAATAAAGTCAGTAATTTCAGCTAAGTAGAGGTCAGTGCAAGCCAATTTTAGGAGGGGAGATACATCACAGAAGAAGTGATTGATGATGCATGGGCCACAGTAGGCCAGCCGGGATATGATTGTTGTCTTCATCAGAGAAATTAAGCCACCACTGAGCCAAGATCCAGCTGCTAGATGTAAGGAGACCCTGTGGTTCATGATGGTTGGGTAGCGCAGTGGCTTGCAGATGGCCACATAGGCCATGACAGCCAGGAGGGCACACTCAGTGCTGGCCAGTGCCAGGAAGAAGTAAAGCTGGGTCATACACCCAATGAAAGAGATGGTTTTCTTTTCAGTCATAAAATTCACCAGCAGCTTGGGCACAGTCACTGTGACATACCAGATCTCCAGGAAGGAGAGATTGCTCAGGAAGTAGTACATTGGCTTGTGGAGATTTTGGTTCAGCTGGACTGTCACAATGATGACGATATTTTCCACTAAGATCAATAGATAGATGGTGAGGAATATCACGAAGAGTAGAATCTGCAGCTGGAAAGAGCCAGGGAAACCCAGGAGAATGAATTCTGTCACTCTAGATTGATTATTCAGTTCCATTAAAGAGATTTTCACCTGCAGAAATTGATTATTATTACACCACAACCCAAGTCGGGCCCCATCCTGTTGTGGATTCATTTATGTATCTATTAGATGTATATCCTGCCATATCCAAAAGGTTCAGAGCAGCTTAGAATAAACAGGTAAACAGCCTACAGATGGGAAACAACAGTAGGTGCCAGAAAACCTGAGAACTTCACATCTCCACCCATCCTGTCACTCTGTCAGCTACTGTTTCCCTGTCCAGATGACCATATAAGCAAATCCTCAGGACAATCTTAACCATGTTTCCCAACTTCCACTTTTACATCTAGAAATAAAAAAAACAAACTTCTTCCTACTTCTTCTACCTATTGACCCACTCCCACTCTCCTGATTCACCTCGAGAAAGACATTTCCATGCTCCCTCAGTGTCTCTTCGAAGCTTACATCCTTTCTTCTACATGGGGCCTATGGTGGTTGTCCCTGTCCAAAAAACGCCCCCACAAAACAACCCAGTAAAACCAAACCCACATGATTCCTCCCTCTCCAACAAACAGAACATTGAATTAAAAAAAAACCCCAAAACTAAACAAAAAAACCCCATCTGTCCCTTGTTCACTACCAAAGGATGTTCGTAAGTGTCACCCTTTGCTGATGCCCCTGGGTAACATCTGGCCAGGGATATCTGTGGGCTTTGTATATCCTATATGCTGGATATTTCTCTCCTTCCATTTGGGTGGCCATGGTGGTATCTGAGCTGGGCTCCAGCCCTCCCCAGTGGGGAAGAGAGTGATAGCAGAATTTCTTCAGCTGGGATTTTATAAACATGTAATAAAACATAAGCCTTTCATGGAGAATTTAGAGCTGGAACCTTATAACTGGGGGGAGAAAAAAGTTTTTTCCATTAAATTGTTTGTATAAAAATTGGGGTTTTTTTTAATTTTTCAGTGCAATGGAATTTTTGGAGAAATGAAGTGCTTTCTTTGAGAGAGTTTAATATATCTCCTGAAAAGAAGAAAACATAGAAAAAGCTCATAGCCCCCAATTTTTGTTTTTTATTATCATAAAAAAAAATTTCTAAGGAAAAATTCTATGAACAATATCCCCCCTCAAACAGCAATAAGAACCAAAGCATAAAACAACCCATATCATACATAACCATTTTCCTATCAGTTCTACGTATAATTCAGTTCTCCCTGCTGTTTCATTGTTGAATAACGCTCTTCTTAATGCAAGTATACTTCTGAATTATCTTACAATAAGTAAATATTAACAATGGTCATTAAAATAATTAAATTCTGCTTAACTTTCCAGAGAGTAGCTAAAATATTAGTACATATTCTAGTCATTGGCATTAAACAAATAAGCATCTTGGACATTTCATCTGAGGTGCCTTTCTACTTTCAATGCTCATGAGTAACGTAGAGACAAAGTCAGATTGATAGATGGATAAAAATGCTTGAAATGTAATTTAATATACTTTTTTCATCTAAATAAATGATCAAAACATGAAGTTAGTTTGATTTCAGTGCAAATTTTTCCATAGAAAAATTGGGAAACAGGACATTTTTGTACTAAAAAAACAATTTTCCTTTCATTATGTTTTTTTTTTTTTTTTTACTCTGTTTCCCTGCTTCCACCCCTTACTTTTTTGCAGTGGTTAAAAAAGGAGAGAATGTGAGGAGGCTGAGAACCTGTTGGAAATTTTTGTAGAGGGGGAAATTTTTTTTTAACCAGCTTTAACTTTATTGTATTTGCAAGTAAATCACTGTCATCATCACATCTTATTTTTCAGTCTGAAGACAAGTATGAGCCCTGTTTCTAATCTGATATATTCTAATCTACCTAATGGAATTGAGTCTCTGGGTTGAAAATATCATCACTATATCACAGGCAATCTGATGAAGGCTATTCTTCACTTATTGAAACTTGTGCATGTTTAGGAGTTCCAGAAATTGGGCTAATTAATAATTGGGGTACCTAACTATGAATTTAGTAGCTTTACATTGGATCACATGATTAGAAAATTTGGGACAATTAAATTCTGATACAAGCAAATAACTTTGCCATACATTGAAGCATCTGGAAATGTGACAAACAGCGCTACGTACATTCCAGCTCTCCCTTGCCTTCGTCCCTTTAAAAAAAGCTATTCTGCTTAGAAAAGGCCAGTGACTTTAGAGAACTTATTTGCTAAAATGAGGTAAGACTTGCAGTTAGTAATATTGTTACAAATGGAAAAATGGGCTCTACTCTTAAAAGTGTCTAAAGGCATTAAATACCTAAACTCAATTCAGTGCTTAACATTTGGTTATATAACTCCTTTAGTCTCCTTAATTATCTGTTGGGATGACTCATTTAACAGCAATCACTGTCTAATCCAGTGCTTCCTAAACTGATTTTCTTAGTATATGAGGCCATGATATACTGCTCCTCTATCAAGGTCACATTTCTAAGGGTGCATGGGTGTCAGAGAGAAATATTAAGAGCTGATGGTGGACTACTGGTCCTACAAATTTGAAACCCTTGGTAATAATCTATCTGTAATAGATGGGATTTTCAAAGGACCACTTCAGCTGAAATGTTATGAGATTTGTATACCTAAATCATTTAGGTTCCTTTGAAAATCCCAGTCTGTATTTCTAGGTAAGACTGCCCCAGAGCTGGTCAACAGATCCAATAGGAAATCTTTAATATAAGACAGTACTATAGAAATTGCCCCTCCATATCAATGTATATACATACTACGTTTGTAGAAAGAACATCTAGGGGGTCATACGTGACTATAGCATGGAGAAGAGGAGAAAACATTTGAAGAAAAATAATTGTCCCTCGTACCAGCAAATACATATTCACAATGTTTTTGGTAGAACTGGCCAAAAACTTCACATTTCAGACTGCTGATGAAATGTTAAATTTTTGTGGGGAACGGTGTAGTTTTTCCTTCCCCCCCCCCCCCCCCCCTCTATGTTAGTTTGTTTACTTTTCTTACCAAGTTTAATTATGGGGAATATGGGAACAGCTTAGACTTACCAGCTGGCAAACTTGCTGTGGTGTTTATAAAGAAGAGATTTGAGTAACAACACTAACCTGAGCAGCCGTCATCTCCTGAAGGGCTGGACAGGTCAAAAGCATGGGGATAGGAACCTGAAGACTTTGTTCTTTAGGTTACTGGGCTTAATTGCAATCTTGTGAAGTAATGTGGAGCTGTGAAAATCCTAAAAAAAAGAAATTTCCTGTTCTCAAGGCAGTTCTTTTTGAAAGCATCAATATACAAAGAGCACTGATGGCAATCTGGGTCACAGGACCAGGGACTGAATATGTCTGGGATCCAAAATCCCCAGTCTCTTACATAAATGATCTGGCTTATTCACAGGTGCAGTATACCAAAACTGGTGTCGGGTCCCATCCAGAGAATAAATGGAAGACCCCTGGGACTATCAGCCCGCCCCCTACTGGCTTTTCATCTTTACATCTTGCAGTAATGTAACTAGGCTGATTTTCATAGAATTACTCTCATTCATAACACAGTGAGTGAAAGAGGGATTAGCTGCATTGACACTAATGAACAGGAAATAATTTACATAAATGAAAGGAAAATCAGCCTCATTGTCTTCAGCATAGTTACTCAATTTATGCTGGGATAAGTGAGAAGGTACTTGGATCTTCCTACTCAAAAACAGTTACTTGCTAGCTAAGATACAAGGGTCAGATCCTGTTCCACTTATCTAGTGTCTCAGTGGACTTCAGCACCCAAGTGTTCTCTTATTGCACCATGCTTAAGTCTGAAAAACTCCTAGCATGTCTACTTTTATAATGCACCATTGTTTTAACCTTGAGACTAAGTTATAAAAAGCTTTAAGGGAGATTTCCCATGCACTTCTTATACTGATGTTTTTAAGGTATTTGAGCAGCATGGACAGATTGTTATGCAGGCACTTATGGGTAGAATAGGACCCAATCCTTAGGGGCCAGATCATTTTCCACTTATTAGCTACCTAAGGGTAACAGTCTATTACTCTTTGGTCATCTACATGATTTAACATGGCATTTAATTGACTAAAGTGTCTAAGTGTGATCCTGTTCTACCCTGCTCAAGTCCCTGAAAAATATTAAAACATAAGGAGGAAGGATCCTTTTGCTTGCTGCTTTCTGTGACTTAATCTTAAAGGTGAGATAAAGGCATGTTACAGAAGTAGATGATTATTTCTTTTTTTTCCCAGGGGCTTGAACAAGGTAGAACACAATCACACTTAGACACCTAAGTTCGCTTAGGTGCCTATTAGGTAGTATAGGATCTATGCCTTACATGTCTAAAATTCAGTAAGAAAAATTACTTTTATTAAACTCAATAAGAGAAATGAAAGTGATCACTTTAAATGAGAAGTGGGAGTAAAGTCATGGAACAAAGAGTATAAAAAGCTGTTGCCAAATGAAGTGGATCAGCTGTGCTAGGGTGTGTCCTGGCACAGCTGATCTGCTTTACTGGGTGAAATGCAGGTGGTCTCTTGCTTCACCCATTGATCATGTTGGACAATGGGCAACATGTTCCCTGCTTATAGAGATGTACCCAGGATAATCTCTGGGAGAATATCTTTGTAACTGGGGAAAGATAGGACTCCTTTAAGAGAGGAAAGTCAAGTAGGCACTCCTGGAGCTTGAGGGGCCTGATCTTGTACAGAAATTCCTGGGGTTTGCAGGACTGGGTCCATCAAGCCCTGAGAGAACCTGCCTGGGGTAGCTGGAGTGTGCAGGCAGCTCTAGGCTGCCCACCTTCTTGTACCATTAAGCAAATAGACAGCCACCAAGAAAAAGTGGCACAAATAATTAATTACTGAAGGCATTTGTGGCATGACAAAGGGCATAGATAGCTCTGCTTTCACTTTGTGCCACCATCATTGTTATGGGGGTACAAATGCAACATCTGTTTCCAGACGAGGACAAATTAGCAAAATTAGTTATAGACCAAGTAAAAAAAAAAAAAAAAAAAGTTGAAATCTATGTATGTAAAATGACTA